TTCACTGGTTTGGTTAGCAATCACAGTTCCCACAGCGCTCGAGAAAAAAAAAACCCGAGGGCCCATAGGTACTTGTATTTGTAAATGCACATACAGGCCCACTGTAGAGAAAGAAAACTCCCTTATTTAAGAACGCGTTATGCAAATCTTGAATTTTGCAGATCGTTATGTGCGAGGCTGCCTCGATATATTTCTCTTCATACTATGCTTGATTTTTGTGATTGTGCAGTTTGGTCTCATTGATTTCTACTACCTAACAGTCTTGAAAGACAACATTTGGTATACTTGGATAGGAGCCGACTCACTTGTCATTGTCATCCTGATATGGCTGCTTGTTATGGTTGTACGAAGCAATCAGCAACACATGGAAGATGCGTGTTCCGCTGGTAATCAGACCTCTTTTAAATAAGTAACCCATGCGAAGCTGTGGTTATGACGTATTGCATGAATCTCCGTACGAGACTCTTAGAGCGCTAAAATTTGAACTGTAGTAAGGGAGGGAATTTGCCAATTTAAACATTACAGATGCTAGAATCAAATACGCATGGATCGGATGGTTTGCATACTCAGTTGTGCTGATTGGAAAAGTGGCTGTCTGTTTCCGACTGTTCTACACTCAGGCAAGTTTTTTTGCTACGGTCAGTTTATGGAACTACGAAATATCATCGGACCTTCTCAGGATCAGCTGACGATGATAACTCCATCGGTTAATTTAAAAACGAACTTGCGCAAACCCATTTTTTTCAACCAACTGTTCAAGGTGCGAGCGAGGGAACTACTAACAGTGCAAGCCGAATTTTGAGGTAGGTACCAACGCCACCCAAGAAGAAAGCTCGCTCGCTCAGATGGAACCTCTCACTCCGCGAATCACCCTTTTGATGGGTAGCTTACGAAGTTGTGGAAATAGACTGTTGGTAGCGTGGAGCTACCTGCACAAATTCACGTGACATCCTGCCCGAGAGATCGGACTGGGAGAAATAGACGAAATAAAAAAGAGGTGTGAGCTTAAAAAAAAATATTCTTGTCAACAAGAAAGGCGTAAGTTCGTAAAAATTATTTTTCATTTTTAAAGATTTCGAAAGTCGTGGGGCTGTTAAAATTCATGAAACGCCCCACTGGCAGGTGCAAGTTAAAAAATGTTTCAAAGTGCACCAACTGTAAAATACAAAAGAGAAAGAGTAAATTTACTGTTCAAAACGGTGTTCTTTCGAATCGAAATAGTCTAATGCGTTGCAGCTCCCGCCGAAAATATCTGACTTACACGACAAGTTCTTCGATGATCACCTGTTTCGGTTGGGTCTGTCGCTCAGCATACCCGTTTTCATATTCCTCCTCGAATCACATCATTACACAACACTATGCAGTGATCGACAGCTTTACCTGATATATCTCATGACCGCTGTAACATTCGACCTCATTGATACCATCTGCTTTCTCGATCTACTCTGGCAGTCATTCGTAAGTTTTTCACAATTTTATAATCGAACGTCCTATCACAGCACACTTCTCCACAACACTTACACAAGATGTTAGCCGATTTGCTTCTGGAATGGAAATCCGCCTTTTCGATGTGATAAAGCACACTCACACATACAGACACATGAACAATATACATCCTTATCAAGAAAACTGCGATAAAATTCAAAGCATAAGCAGTGAATATGTTCACGTAGCAGAGGAAGAACAGCAGCTCAATACGTGGCCCAGCACTGGCTCGACCACGAATTGCGCAACATTTTTGTAGCAGTTTGCTTCCTAGGCGTGCCAGAAAGTCCACATATTATGTGTTAACTGAAGTAATTTTAAAAGTTTTAGAAAGACAACTGGAATTTACCGCTCTGGCTGGACCTCACGATTCTGTCACTGGTTGCCGTCAATCTTGTTATGCCAGCTTTTGCGCTACTACGTTTACGGTTTGGTCGTCGTTTACCACGCTTTGCGCTTTTCAGTGAAAAAATTTGGTCACTCATCTACGTCCTAACGGTAAATTCTTGAAATATTTAATCCATTTCCTCTCGCTCTTTTTCTGAACAATTTTCGGGAGAGGAGACTAGTGTCTGCTGTTGGTAAAAGCTCGAGCCACCACATACAGTTGAACATACTGCTTTTGTTAGAATTTGAAATTTCATTTTGTCCTATAAGCCCAACG